CACACACACACACACACACACACACACAAAGAGAGAGAGAGAAATTAACAGCAATTTCTGTCGAATGAAAAAGTGCATTAAAAATTTATTAAAATTTTATTTGCAATACCTAATTTATCTCATTTCGTTATAAATAGATCATGCAAGATAGAAGATTACTTCAGGATGACAATCGAGGATTAGGGCAAGGCGTAATGGACAATCTGTTGACAAATCATATGTTTACGCTAATTCTGGAGAGGAAGGAAACAAATTGCCCCTTTGCAGTACCAACGAATCATCCGGCGGGGTTATTATCTTTAAGTGGTCATTTGGCTTCGGAGGAGTTACTGCATCCAATCGTGACGTTGCATCCTCATAATTCTCTGCCATTCAATCTACACGCTCACTTCTCGCCGCTTCGATACGATCTTCCAGTAGACTTAAGCATCGTCAGTCTCCGAGTGTTTCCCATTCCTGAGGGCGCCGGCAAAGGTGTCGGTATGGTATTACACCAATCAGCTTTGGATACTTGCTTCAACAATTCTCTCCTACGACACTTGAACGTTTCGGACGCGGGAGAGGTAGACTTGACGAAGCTGCTGAACGATATGGAGGATTGGACTATTAGTAAAGCGCCCCTTACGTTCCACAACGTCGGGCCGTCTCTAAAATCGCCCGTTGTAAACTTGTGCCCGCATCAAATACTGCCGATATTATTTCACAAGACGCAGTCCTAATCAGGAAGAGAAGAGACGTGTAATGTAGCTTGCGTTGCTTTGCATTTATCCATATAAATTTTGTTTACTCAAAATTATATAGTCCAAGTGCGCCGAGGCCGGTGGACTTGAATTGTCTAATTTATATCTGGAACAGTATTAAGCGTACAAAATTACTACCATTTTGAGTGTGAAGATTTTACTTGATTATACTGCAATATGTACAGTCCGCATATTACAGTAAGTTACACGATTCAAATCGAACTATAATAACAAGAACTCTGACGTGTATTTAAGATATAAAGATATGCATAAATAGTTCCAGTTTACCTCGGGCACACGCATATGGGTCAACAGTCAACAATCTGTCATGTATTAATGGATAATTAAAAAAAACAAAAAAAAAAAAAGAAACAAAAATAATACACGATACTTTCGTGATTACTTTCGACATCGATTTATTAATGGAATTAATTTTTAGTATCATTCAAAAAAGTGATCTTTTTCGTGTATATTGTTTATTTTACAGTTAGACCGTACGACATTAAACTCTTGATAGTAAGTTTTGTGATTTAGCATTTCCAATTGAAGCTGTATCTAGGTCTAAGACGTATAAGACTCGAAATAACATGGATAATGTTTGAGAACGGATAGAGACGGATCAAGTATTTTTAAGAATACATAAGAATTCGTATTGTGTAACAGCACATAGTTCATTTACAGCCCTCGGCTGGTACAGCCACAACTGTTTAGTTTGTCATCTATTTGTTAAAGATATTTCTATATTTTCCTATATTATGCATGTGCAGAGAACACTTGGTGATTTATGACCGAATGTTGTGAACGTAACGTACATTTAGCTCGCTAAATGCGACTTGAGCTGTCTGCCAAGCGGAATCCGGAATCATATTAAACACAAAGTATAGATTTGAACGGTTGCATTTAGCGTTAACGAATGGAGTGGGGATACGAAGTAAGCAGTAGTGAACTACTTATTGTTAATCATAATCGAATACGTTGATACTAGTCAATTACAGACTGTGTAAAATAGATTTGGGTTTACACAGCCATTTTATATACATACCCTTGTACTATATTATGCTTGTACTACACACCATTGTACATACACACTATAAAAATACATGAAACAATTATAGGATGTACGTTTGTATGTAAATGGCTTTAAGAAACTCGCTTTATGGATAATGTAGTACAGAGGACTTTGGTAATAATTAATACTGAAATATAGATATTAAGAATGCTAGAGGGTGTTGATCTCTATTTATAATAGCGTTAGTAAATATTCCTTACCCGAGAGCGTAGAAAAATTGTATTGCCGATGGGTTGTGCTTGAAAACGGTCAAGACGACTTTCAGCATCTGGTTCTGATACGCCATGGATTCCAGAGCTGACATCATAAAGCGACCAAGCCCTTTGCGCCTGACCGACGGTTCCAATTGTAATTCGTAGCTGTAGAATGGACAGATAGACACACACACACACACACACAAGTACTTGATCGTTTCCACGTTACCAAGTGCTATTTTTGGCGCATAATTTTTACACGCGTAATTTTACGTAAAATATATACATACCAGTATAATACTACGTCGCCGTTATCAGTGTCGAATCGAAAGTGCGAGAAACCGAGAAATTTGTCGTTGCACGACGCTATTAGGTACCATGCTGTTTCTTCCGTCAATTCCGCCCGTTTCTCAGCCGCGTTCCAGCTCCAACTGGATCGCTCGTACATATCCTTCATGTTTCTCTCCATAATATCCATGATCCAAGAGAGACACTCCGATCGTGCGTCTCTCGCTTTAACGCAAACGAGCTCGATTGTGTCATTATCCCTCGTCGCGTAATCGTGGAACTTTTGCAGAGTCTCCAAAGGATTTGTCAGGGCATTTGCCTTGTTTATCAGCTGTTGCTGCGTCGCTGCTTTCTCCGCTAAAAGCTGACGCCTTGTTTTTCTAGCCTTTTTCTGTAAAAAAGGGCAACCAAAGAACCAAATAATTTAAAAGCCTGCACGTAAGAAATTGTCTGGCTTGATGGCACGTTGCGCGAGCACTTTAAACGCCGCTCATTGCTCGGGACAACTGACCTGCATGATTAACGTTCAAATTCCAGAAATCCAGAAATCACGTTTCGTCTTTTTCTTTTCTTATTTACCTACTACAATTAGTATACCTCGGGTGAAAAGGGCGGCCGGCTTATACGTCTTCAATTTTCAATTTTCCTTAGGCATAGTCGCAGTCCTCGGTTGTAAGGCATCAGACCTGTTAACTTTTCTCGCCGAGCTCGCACACCCTTTGTTGCATAGTTTCCTTTATCTTGTTAATAAAATTATAATTTACATTACTTTCAATTTAAATCAGTCTCTTTTCTTTATAAGCTTCCCGCCTTTTTCGTTGAAGCGTATAGGTTACGTTGTCATTCGACTCCGACGGTATTTTATTGTTGTATGTATGTACATACAATGCAACTGAATGATTTCAAAGTCGAATAAGATACTTAATCAATTAAAAATACTCTAAACAAATATTTTCATTCGTCGACAAAGAACATCTAACTGTTAGCTGTTTTATTGTCGATCTAGTATGTACCCTATACGCGAACGCCACTACTCCAGACACTGACTCCAGCGGCTCCAGCCAGAGTAGCCAGGCCAGAGACAGGTGTGCGCCTGTGCGCGCGCGCGCGCGCGCACGTGTGTATTGTTTACTCAACATAAAAATCGCGGATGTGCGGCGCAGGCACTGCAGGCTGCAGGCTGGGAAAAGGAAAAGCAGGAAAAACGAACCGCACTTCACAACGATCGAGAACGAGAAACAAATAATTATCGTGTTTTTTTTTCCTTCTGTATAATGCGTTCGATCGGTCCACGCTCACCACGCTGCGCTGTTAGGATTGAGGCAAGATCGGCCGGCAAGAAGATATATATGTCGGTCGGGTCGGGGGGTCAGGGGCCAGGGGTCATCCAAGATCGTCTACCAATCATGACCGAACGCATGAATGGCATGGCTCGTCGCAGGGGTCGCAGGTCGCTAGGGCTAGACTCTAGAGATCGGTGCGTGGCGTGCGAGCGTGTTCCAACCGCGCGATCTGGCGCGCGCGAGACGCGATCATCCTCCACTCTTCGCCTCCACTCTTCGCCGACAGCTGACAGGCTGACTCCGCTTCGTGGCTCCGAGAGTCGAGAGCGAGACTTCGAGGTCTCCGGTCTCACCTCCGAACTCCGAATACCGACTATGCCGAGCATACCGAGTACGCGACAATGTTAATACGAGCAGCGTGCGCGACGACTCTGCCCTGACGAAAACAACAAGCGGTGACGGGAACTGGAGGCTGGAGGCTGGAGGATCGAAAAGAAAAAACAGAAGAAGATAAAATTATATCATCTTGTTCAGAGTTCCAGAGTCCAGATCGCGTCAGCGTCCACCCGTCCACGCCACCCAGCGAGTGTTTTTGCTCCCTAAGCTGTCGCCTGTCACGTTGCGTATGTAGGTATAGGTTAAGTGGGGAGGTGTGTGTTGGTTCGTGAACATATATATTTGCAGTTCTTGTTTTTTTTTTATTTTTTATTTTTTTACTTTTTTTGTAAATTTCCAAACGTGCGCGTTTCTTTAGTTAAAAGTACGCGAAATGTTAACAAAAGCGCCGCGGCTTCGCGAAATTTACACGTACGTAGCTCATATCACATATTTGTGGATACATACATATTCAATTTCTCAAGAGCATTTAGAGCTAGAGCACGCGGGCGTTCTCTAAAAATAGTCTCGTCTCGCGCCCCCTCTCCCCTCATTACCCGTCCTGACGCTCTGACGCCCTGACGCCCTGACGCTGGCCGCGTTCTTATTTTGTAATAAAACGATGACACATTAGACACATACGTGATATACGTCTATCGTCTCGCGGGTCTCGCGCGAAGCGCGACGTTGATGAAAATGAGAGATAGCTACTTACATCAAGTCCCTGCGTGTGTGCGCCCGCTTGTGCATATGTTTAACTCTCGTTATTATCTATCTGCTTCAGGCTTCAGCATCATTGTTCCAAGCAAGAGCCTAAAAGAGCCTAAAAGAGATGGAGAGGACCGAGGATGAGGATGAGAAAGCTGTTCCTTCATCTATGACTCAGTGCTACGAAAATTACATTATAGTCGACGTGGGTGCCAATCTAACGAATAAAAAGTATAGTCGGGACTTGGATAGCGTGATACAGAGGGCAAAGGACGCTGGAGTGCAGAAGATCATGGTGACCGGCGCCAGCATTCGTTCGAGCAAAGAGGCGCTGAGGCTAACCAGAATATATCCCGGGACGCTTTATTCGACCGCCGGCGTGCACCCGCACGACGCCAAGTCCTGGGAGGAACCAAACACCCTGCGCGAGTTGGAAAGCATAGCCAGTAATCCGGAATGCGTTGCGATCGGTGAATGTGGCTTGGACTACAGCCGCGACTTCTCAGCCCCGGAGGCGCAACGCGCTGTATTTCACAAGCAGATAGAATTAGCCTGTACGTTAACGAAGCCGTTGGTGATACATGAAAGAGGCGCGCAGAAAGATGTGCTGGAGGTTCTCGAACAGTACAAGAACCGTCTGCCGCCCGTTTTGATTCATTCCTTCATCGGCAGCGCGGAAGAGGCACGGATCTACTTGGATCGAGGCTTTTATCTAGGTATTACCGGCTATCTGTGCAAGGATAAATCCGACAGTGGAGTGAGACAGTTGCTGGAGGGAGGCCAAGCGCCGTTAGATAAGATCCTAGTGGAGACCGATGCGCCATTTATGTATCCAAATACCAGGGCCAGCAAATTGCCGGTGCACGTCAAGGATGCTCTAACCGAACGGTCTATGACATTTCTTCAGCGTTACTGCACCTTTCAACGTAACGAGCCGTGTGCCTTGCCAGCGATCGTGGAAATGGTAGCGGCCTTTATGCGAACCACGCCAGAACAAGTCGCCCTGACTACCGCTTTTAACGCTCTAAAATTATTCGGTTTGAATCAATGATAATAATATATTTCGATATCAGACGTGTGCATAAGATGGGTGCTAATAGGTGCTATTGCTATGTGGCACGTGAATTAGATTTTTAAATAATATCCATAGAGCTTCATCTGGAGCCATTACGTACTCGTATTTACAAACTTTACACGTGTTTCTTTCTCTTTCCTTCTTTTTTCAATAAACCAAACGATAGTTTCTACATTCGTAATATTTTATGTTGGAGAAATTGATTTTATAATCGACTGCTTGTAGGCTGTTGAAATTGATGAGAATTTGTTGCACGAGTTCGTAGTAAGGACTGAACGAATGTATAAACACACACACACACACACACGTGTGGATGTGCAAAATATCTTTATCATATTAAAGTTTCTTTAATTTTTTATATAAAATGCTGCATTGTTTGTTCAAACATACAAACAATGTTCTCTATTTTGACATTTTCTTTCAGTTTCTAATGACGTACAATAATACGTATACAGAATGAAACTGCGTTGTGCTGTTTTCGCTCGCTTTCTCATTTTAATATATATATGTATATCATTTAATCTCATGGTAAAGTGTAAACTTTACCCCGATAGAGATACAAATCCGCAGAAGGAAGAAAAATGTGGTCAAATGGTAAATATGGATAGTAAGAAAGCAGCGTAATAGGAAAATCCCGAAAAAACTGATTTGGTATAGGAGAAATCAACTGCATGTGGGATATAATACACGGATAGATGGAGATCAGACTCAGTATTATACATTCAATTGTTAATATATTATAAATATTTTTATATGAATAAATTGTTTTGTAGATGGATTATTTGTGTGTCAAATACACATTCTCTTTCTCAGTGAATCATGATTTTTAAATAAGAAAGAGAGAGAGAGAGCGCGCAAAAACGCGCATTTAAGAGATTTTAGAAATCAGTTCGCGCCAGTCGTCTAATTAAATCCACACAATGTATGTACGTTGTTTCTTCTCTATTTTTAAGCTATCTTCCGTGTGTTATACAAGCTTATCCTAAACAAAGTACAACTAAAATAAATATACATGGCAGCCAATAACTGTAAATACTATAAAGTAGTACGTGTCTCTCATTACATAATGTCAGTATAATTCTTAATCTACAATAAAAAAAAGTTGGCTTTCGTATAAATTGTTTTATCTACATATTATCTTATATTCTCTTTATTTTCTCATAAACGAATAATTTTATTACATATATATAAGTTCAATTGTTTGTACAGCTGTACATTAATAGTTAATAAACATTCGTCCGTGTTTGTATCGCTCAAAATACATCATTCTTGGTCGAATATACCTATATTCGATGAGAATCCTACATAACATATTTTCTATGTTGATTATAAAATATTTCATTTTATTAAGAACGAGTCATCTTCGCACTTTAGCCTTATAGCTCGCATCAGATAGGGAAGCCTTTCATATTCGGGCAGTTTCATCCAAGAACTAGAATTTATAGCAATTGCATTGGTTTTTATTAACGCTTCCACGGACTTTATTTTCAACAACCATGTACTTTTTAGTCTCTGAGAATTCACAGCGTACGCAGCGTCAGGTAAATTAAAGATGAGTATCCTAAAATCCAAGATTAGTAACTAATAATGAGCAATGCAATGGTCAATTGTAATACGTTAAATAAGCCGAGTGTATTCTTACATTTGACTTTCGTTTGGAGTTTGTATATCCTCAACGTATGTTACGTTAGTTCCATTAGATGTAACTGTATTGATTGCAATCGGGTATCCACCTTTCCTCATTACAACAACGTGATCTAAAGTGATAAAGTTTAGACAATGTCCTTTCGCGTAAGAAGGACAAGAATTACTTTGTTCTTCTCTAACTTACCAATGTAATGTCCAAGTTTTGTCCTCAAGTCATTGTGAACATACTGAGGGCCACCCAATGCTAGTTCCAATGCCGTCTTTAAGGAAAATGTGGGAAGTATTGGACTGAGCAACGTTTTGTGTATGCTTATAGCATGTTCAAGTATATCTTGCGACGGCCACGGTCCATTATACATAGGATACAGCGTCTTAACACTTTGATATAAAAGTAACAACTCCCTCATATGAATATTCCTCACTGATTCATTAGCCTTTATAATCTGGGAAAAAACTTTGCTGATTAAACTTGGGCTATAACAATCTAACGCTATCAAATGCAGAGCAAATTTAATCATAGATCTGTTGAAGACTTTGTTCTCCACTTTATTCGCCAGTATCGCATCTCGTATAATGTCCCAAAATACTGGTTTGTAATCGGCATTGATTAATCCTTCTAAGAAAATAGATACTCTAAAATATGATGCGTTTTTTAGCAAATTCGGCTGCTCGAAGCATTTCGCTGCTAAATATTCCAGGAAAGGTATGTGCGCGTAATTCAGCTCATTCAAAAGTTTCAGCAGATTGATGCTATTGTCAAAAAAAATCTCTGCGGATAATGCTGAACTGACAAAAGCATCCACCAGTGCCTCATTGTAGAACTTGCATCCATATTCTTTGCTGCAACCAAGTAACATATTGTCAATATCTCATTTTTTTACTCACACGCCCACGCACAGAGAGAGAGAGAGAGGGGGGGGGGGGAGCGCCAGATTTTATTATCATGAGATTCTTATATAAATATTAAATATACATACTTCTTTGCAGTGACGAGCACTAGTTTGTGGAGCGCCTTCATTATTTCTGGAACACTTAATCGTTTCGCGTCACTTATTAAAATCTTTTGAATATTGAACAGCAATTCAAAAGCTCGCGGAGACAGATAAGAGGCAACGCACAAGCTACAAAAGATAGACCAAGCCGTTTGTACGTCGAGATTATTTTCAAATTTCTGTAACGACTTGAGTATCGTATTTTGTACTTCTGGATTCGTGATATTGTTTTCACTGATAAGTCTCAACGACTGTGTCAGCATAAAAATGTCATCTGGATCCAATTTCGTAGGTAGCTGTGCCTCAAATACAACAGGTAGAGCTATCAACAGAGCGTCTCTCAATGGTGTACTATCCATTTTCTTCAATAATATAATTATATTGATTATATCCTGAAGAGCGGCGTCATTTACGTTTGCGCGAATCATTTGCAATAATGACTGAGTTAGAATGCAGTTGGCTGGAATCTTGAAATACGTCAACATTCTGAGACTGCTAATAATTTCATTTGTTTTCATAAATCTAACATTTCTATTTAACACTTCCCACAAACGTATAAAGCCTATATGCTGCTTGATACTTTGCAGATCTTCCCCCATATGTTTAGAAGCTTTAAATAATACAAATATTGTGTCGATAGCGTCGTGTACGGTCATATTTGTATAATTTCTCGCTGCCTTCTCTAATATTTCCATAGATTTGCACGCTGTCTTAATATCGGTGGATACATAGTTCTTTTCTATCGGTGATATACAATCTTCTAGCTGTGTATGATCTAAGAAACGTGTACATTCAATTAGAACGTTACGTTTACACGGAGAAATACGTGTGTGAGTGTGAGATATTCAGTTACCTGTCAAACTGGTACTGTAAACGCGCGCGACCTTCTGTATCGCGTGCAATGGTATAGCACCTATGTAATTCGATAGGACTGTCCACGTGCGTGCTGGTGGACACACGCGCAGAAATCCCTTTAGAGTCCCGTTCATTCTACCGATAACGAAAGCTGTTACTGCGTCGCAACAGTAATTATTCTGAAAATTACAAAATATTAATTGTATACCTATGTTTGTGCAACGTATGTTTGTGGAGTGCAATCATGCGTGTATTCTTAACGAAATTAAAATAGAAAGAAAGAAAGAAAGAATTTGTGTTAATTAAAAAGGAGACTGACAAAATGACAATTGATAGAGATAAGCCAAGTGTACCGTTGCTAAAATCAATGCAACTTGGGAAGACTGTTTGGGAAGACAATCTTGTTATTTAGGCCCTTGGCTAGTTTGGATCCTTGTCAACCCGAAGAGCATTGCAATAACACAATTTTGAAAGCAGATAGCAATCAATTAATTATTAGAGCCTCTGACTACGTCCGTTTGAAATACATTCTGATAAATTCACTGCACTTGAAGTGAAATAGGTATGTTTGAAATTTGGGCGAAGGGCGAAAAGGAAAGTTTAAATACGGTCCAATGAGGTAAATAAAAGACAAACCTTTTGTAAATTTGTAAATTTTTCGTAGACACGCGAACGTATTTGGAATATGTTATCCGAGATAGATTGCTATATATTAATATAATCGCTAATTGTGAATAACCGGCGCGTAATATCCAGTGGGAATGTACAGGTTAGAAACTCTTGAACATCGAGTTCTTTGCACTTACGCAGTTATCATTTATTTCTGTTAATCTGGTACCTTGAAAATTTATGAACAATATCAACGGCGCTATGGACCCAATACAGAATTAGTCAACGGGATAATAACTTGTTATTTTTAAATTGCGTTCATATGTATGTACATTACGTACACACGTACATATCAGCACATATGTACTGTACTGTACAATACAAATGCGTGCATTCATTCACATGGCTTTCAGCGCACCACGGACCTGCACGGACCACGGTCCGCACGGTCGTGTCTATCTATGGCCGCGTTCAGCAGACACAATTGTTGAGTTCGTCTTATCAACACAATACGTTGATTGGTTGGTTCTAAAAGTAAGAGCCAATCATGTTCGAATGCTATTGAGCGGTTTAGTCTGCTGAACGCGCCCTATGGCTTAGTTTACACCAATCACTTGATCACTTGATATTAAATAGTAAATAACTAGTAAATAAGTCTGATTATTGGCTGATCAGTTCAAATATACTATTTGATACGCGTATCAAGAGATCGGTGTAAACTAGGCCTGTGGTTGGTGAAATTGGCCCTTAACCGACGGTTAAAGTTAGCAGGATTGACCAATAGAAAGCAGGGTGGATTCATTTCTATTGGTCAATTCTGCTAACTTTAACCATCGGTTAAGCTAATGCTAGGTCTACAATGCGAGTCGTAAAGTCGTGAGTCGTAAGAATTGTCCAATCACAATTGAATTTGAGGAGAATAATCGACTGTGATTGGTCAATTCTTACGACTCAAGACTTTACGACTCGCATTGTAGACCTAGCATAAGAGCCACGCACGTTCGACTGCTACTCAGCAGCTTGGTCTGCTGAACGCGTCCAATGCAAAAAGTGAACAGATTTACTAGATTTCGACCAATAAACTCGTAGATATTCTAGTGAATTCTCTCACTTTTCGCATTTTCGCATTTTCACCTCGTGAAAAGATCTACGTAATAGGCCCCCCTGATGTCATAGCGCCCGATGTTGGAAACCATACGGGGGGTGGGGCTATATTTCTAGTGCAAATTAGTGCAAATCAGTGCAAATCTGCAAAGTTCAGCTCTGCATGGCTCAGCTGAGTCAGCTGGTTTTCAGCTCATTCGAATTAAACATGGCTCCCTGGACGAAAACATGACTCGTTGAAAATGAATAAGAATAAGCAAGTTGTCGTTGTTGATTCAACTGTGTGCAAGTTATTGAATCATTGCATCGTCCCTCACCGCGAGCTTGTTGGCTCTAATTAATCTTGGTTCCAAGTTCTAACTCGGTCGCTCTGTTCAAGTTAAAGTTCAAGTGCTACTTGCTACATGCTACATACGTGACGGCAACAGGCAACGAGGCAACATGACTAACGAGTGCGATCGTGATACACATACACGTGTGGCTAACGCCAACGATCCGACGATGCCGTCGTCGTTGTCATCGCTCGAGACGGATTTCGTCAACTTTCGTCCGCAAAAGGAGTTGGTGTACAATAAACTCTTGCCCTACGCGAGTGAGCTTGATGCGGAATCGCGGATGTGGCTCGCCGAGATCAAGGGAAACTTGGGACGTGCGGTCATGCTACGTGAGCTCATACCAGGATGCGTCTTTTGGACGAGCAGATTAAATTTGTGAGCGACGGAATCTCGCTCTTGGAAGCTCTAGAGATATCTTTTATACTTTTCTAGTATTTACGGAGTATTAAAAAAAGTCCACTTTTAAAAATGAAAAAACCATTTAGGATTTAGAAGACAGATAATACTCGTCTTGGATTTGCGAGTGAAAAGTGTCTGGTTGATTCACGAGTTGTGAAAAAGTAAGCTTGTGTTAGAGATAAAACTTGCGACTTGGAAATGTCAAGTATCGACCGTCTTGTTGTCAAATATCACTTTTGTGGGGGGATAAAAAATCAAATTAGAGATAGAACTAAGGAAGAGATTACGAATAAACCGGATAAGGAACTTTAAAAACCTTACAAATAGTACGTACATTATACATGTCAAACAATTTACATGTGATAAAAATATACAAAGATAGGATGGAACATAAAATCATGTTGAGTTAGGGAGAAAAAATTGATACAACACGTTAAGTATATAAATTTATTTTATATCGGAGATGGAAGCATTCTTCAAAAGAAAAAAAAATTAATTTTCTCTTTTCACGATAAACGGTGATTTGTTTTTTTATTTTTGCATGTATCCGTATCTTTGCTACATAACTTTATTCTAATTACTTTGCCTGTTGGTTTGTTGAAAGATGAACAAAAAATATTTGGATATATTCCAACACGAGATACGAGATATCTTGCATTTGTATTCTTCTAGAATTCTATCTCAATATTATATCTAAAATGATAAGAATTGAGTTATGTAAAAAAAAAAAAAAATAAAGACGGTTCTAAAAGTGCAAATTATCCATATTACTAATGTAGAAGATTCTATCTCTCTGATAAACTTAGCTTTTCGCTTTATATCAGTTATGTACTAATCGTTCAGTTGACTTGAGTACTGTCTGCCTTCTAATGTCCTTAATCTATTTTTTTTTTTTTTAATACTCTGTATTGTACCAATTTATTATGACATATTGGATTAAATTGTCTTTCAGATATATAGAACTATATGGGATGAAGTTCAGTAAAGAAGATCACATAGCGTTTGTGAAATTAATGTATGAGCTTGTTACCATATCAAATTTGGATACATGCCTCGTCAACAAATTTTCCGCCACATTGATCTTACTGTTAAAGTAAGTAAAATGGAAATGGAAGAATATACTGTCCATTAAGTGGACAGTTGTTACATTAAATATTGTCAAATAGATTTAAGAAAATTTCCCCAAAAAGTTATAGTTGATAAAAAGACAGTTTGTATATAATTTTAACATTGTAAGTTGTGTGATTAGGAAACCTATTCCATGAGAGAATGTACTTTATTCAGGCAGAAAGGCAAGATTCTGATCGTAGATATGTCTTTACTTTTCGGACAGAAACACAGCAAACATTGATACATGGTGTGGCATCAATTTACATTGTGTTTTAAACAATATGAAACACTGAAATGGAAATGTGGTAAAGACAATCTAATCAAAATGAACAGATTTCTTGCTGCAAAAGTTTTTTTCTTATGGAATAGAATTTATTTGATGTAATCCTTGGTTGATGTAATTTACCTTTTTTTTTTTTTTTTTTTTTTTCAGGAAAAAAAAATTAATCAGTCCAGACGACGTACAACTTCCATGGAGACCCTTATATGAGATTATAGCGCATTGTCTACGGCGCAATCCAATTGGAATATATCGTAACTCTTCATTGTTGAAAACTTTATTACATTGTGTGATTTATTCCGTAAAGATTTATTTCCCCGTAAGAACAATTCTTTTCTTAAGAAAAAGAAACATTCCCAGAATTCGGCACACGACTAATTTTATATCTCGCAACATTATTGTAACAGTTGAACGCTACGCAAGAAATATTAGATGAATTAAGACCAAAGCTCTGTCCTCACGATGGCGTAACAATGTGCACGAGCCTTCAGATTTTAGAGTGTTTTTTACCATTGCAACTATCTCCTGAGCATCATCCCCGCGGATATCGATTGTGGTTTGATGAATTTATGACCATGTGGAAGGTATGCCACAATGGTCCGCAATGGGAAAATGATATGATGTGTTTAATTGCAAGATTGGCGGCTTTTAATATCGGGTATATTGACTGGGAACCGCACGTTCCCTTCATGTTTACTAGATTTATACGGTGCCTAAATCTGCCAGTAACATATAAGCAGACGCCAAACACTTTGAATCATAAAATGGAAATGTCATCGATAAGTATGTGGATAGTAGCAACCTTGGTAAGATTATACATCACAACTTTATACATATATGTCACAACTGTACATGTTTATACATACATGTTTTATAGGGAAATGGTACAAGCACACAGATGTATTTGGAAAAATTCTTGAAAACTATAGAAACGTATTTTTATCCAGCAAATTTTGGGCGATGGGTGGGAAAGTTAAAGGAACTCCTTGTCAAACTTCCATATCATTTTATTATACGTTTACACGCGTACGTAAACATTTAATATATTT